ATAAAGATCATAAACAGCAGCAGTAATCACAACTTAACCAAGGGGTTGTACCTGTGTGACAATTAGTCATTTTGTATTTTTTTTCCAAACCATTTGTGATTTTAAATTGATTAACAAAAATCTATAATTATTAAATAAATTAATAAAAAAATATAAAATAATAATATAAATAATTACAAATATTCAATGTTTATCACGTTATTAAAAAAAAAAAAGAGCTCAAATATTTGTAACTTAAAAAATAAATTAAAAACCATATATGCAAACTATAAATATTCAATGTCTATCACGTTATTTAAAAAAAGAAAGAAAAAAGAACCCACAATTTTTATTCCTACAATTTATTCATGCATATCCAACACCAACAATTCACTGAATTAGACGTCTATCACATAAAATTTAGGCAATATCTATAACTTAAATCAATTAAATAAATCCCACTCTTAATTAAATAAATTAATAAAAAAATACACATCCACAAAAGACATCGCTTTGTGTTTATTTTTGTAATTTACAAAATCTTTCAAAAAAAAATCTAACTATAAATCAAAATAAATCCTCTTTTTTCCTTTGTGTGTGTGCGTGTGTGTTTTTTCTTTTTTTTTTCCAAATATAACAATAATTTGATTACATTATCTTTGCTTACTAATAAAACTTTTGTGTTATAATTTCTTTACAAAAAGTTATATTAGCTCCTCAGTAGATCCTTGTTATATAATAGTGTTTAAATTTTTTTTATGTACTTTACAACAAATAACGATACTTACTGAGATTTTGTATTCTTTATCTTTTGTATTCCTGTTTGAATTCTATTGAAGAATAAGATAAGCAAACTTGAGGTAAATTCCAGATAAATCAGCAACAATTGGTTAACCATTATGTATTTCCAAGTTTGAAGTTGAATTACAAATTTTTAGATATTTGGTTACATACTATTTTTTATGAATTCTATAGCAAATGTTATCATCGAGGAGTTGATGATTTCCGATCGTGCAAAATTAACTACAAAACATTATAGACTACCATATTTGTGGATTTTTTTAGGCAGATTTATAATATGACTAGAAACATTACTGACTATCATATCTATATATAATAATAATATATAACCTGCATGATTTTAGATCTTTGATACATTCTATTTATATGGATTCTACAGTAGATGTTATCATGTAGGAGTTAATCATTTCAATGTGCAAATTAACTACAAACAATTATATGATTATCATGTTTTTTTATATGAAAGTCATTATGTACACATACTTAAGTCATTATCTATACTATAAACTAATAGCATGAGTTATATAAGCTTCAACTTAATACTCTATTCAGGATGGATATGATTTTAATCGATAAATTAATCAACACGACTTAAGTCCAAGATGGCTCGATTGGTAGCCAAAAGAAGACTTCTTTGACACGACATTCTGATCGTAATGATCCAACCTTAAGATTCGCCTTCTCATATAGAAAAAGGAGGCTCGACGTTTGAGAACCATCGTTTTGCATTTAAAAAGATTACGAAGTAGTGCCCGTCATAGTGGTAATCTATTGACTTCTACACAATAATGTTACATTTCAAATTTTCTTACAATCTTATTAATGAGACATTCACATTTTCAAATAATCTTTTAAGAATCACAAAAAATAATAATATGATCTATATTATATATTAGGTGTTGATAAAGAATATGAAAATCGATATCGAAAATTCTTTCCTCTAAGTGGCACAACTGGTGCAAGAAGAAGATTACTTTTAACATGATATGATTGTAATGATCCTACATTAAAGGGTCGCCTTCGAAAATAGAAAAGGAGAATCGACATTTGAGGATCACAGTCTTGAGACTCAAAAGATGCAACGTGGTGCTTACAGACAAACATGCAGTTCCAATAATGACAATGCTTCTGATGTTACGTTGGAATTCAAATTCTTATATCTAATGAATTAGACACAAATGAATCAGAAATGCCGAGCTCCCCAATATTTTACCACTAATTCAAATAGAGCACATCTACCTGGTAATAAAAACATTTAGCCAACTATCTACTCTATACAAATTTCTTACAACAGTAGAAATTCATAATATAATCTAAATCTAAATAATTTCAGGTAGTACATTTACCACACGTTCTAGAAGGAGAAATATTTTAGACCACTCAAACTTTGGTGGAGAACAGTAACATGCTCTACATGTCAGCAATGATGTGCGATAGAGGAAAAGTAAAGAGATAGTCCATTGAGTCGACCAAAATTTAGTCTCTGTTGTCAAAGTGGACAAGTGATGTTGCCTTTATTGCCAGAAGCTCCTGAATTTTTGTAACAACAGTTTACTCATGTGAGATTTAAAGAACACATAAGGATATATAACTCTCTATTATTCTTCACGTCCATGGGTGGGAAAATTGGTCAGTCGGTGTTAAATGGAAGGGGTCCTTATGTTTTTAGTATTAGTGGAGCAAATTTTCATAAAATTGGTTCGAAACCTGGAACAAGGCCTAAATTTGCACAAACTTTATATTTATGGCATTGAGCATGAAATTCGCAATAGAATGGATGTTATGAATAGGTGTGGTGGCACATCGAGAATTGATATGTCCACATTAGAAGGTTTACAGTCAATGTTGAATGTCATCAATCCATATGTATCAATTTTTCACACTACTCGAGACATGATCCGTGAGAATGGTGCTTAAGAATTGCATATTCGCATTTTGAGTTCGAGGAATGGAAGGCAGTACACAGACCCATTACAACTGATATTGCTACATTTAATTGTTGGTGATCGGTCTGAAAGCACTAAAAATCGTGAACTAATTGTTAGAAAAATTGGATGGACATTTACAAGGATTAATGAAACACATCATTTATACATGCCACTTCAATATCCATTACTTTTTTCCTATGGGACTGATGGATGGAGAAGGT